CTCCGAGAGCATGATCTTCATTAACATTGATTCGTTTCAACCGCATCTAATTGCAAATTGCAACGTACAAAGTACAAGCGACCTCTCTACAGCCCAGGTAGACAAGTGCTTGATTGATGGAGGAGGAACACACCCTAAACCCTGCCCACATGAGCCATTGTCTAAACTCCTACTGTAGCATACCCCTTCACAAGCCCTATATTACTCCCCATATAATCGTATAATCCCCTATATGACCCCCCCCGTAAGGAGTTTAGACTATAGCCCACATGTACGGAAATTCGGACTAGACAACTGACTGTTGGCGTTTGCATATAACCGGCTCGCAAGCCACTCACCAAACGAGAATGCTCCCTCTCAAGGTCAAGACAGCTGGAATACTAGCATTGGCAGGACGGAGGTTTCAGCTCTGGTTAATTTAGCAAGCCGTTGGCTTCACCATGCACCGAAACCAAGCCAAATGATTAATCATGAAGGGGACTCTCGGTCTCAATCTGCACTTCGGCCATTCAAGCCCTGAAGCACCAAATCATCTTCTACAAGCAGCAAGGAGGAGCAGCAGCTACAAGATGCATTACTGCAACTCCATTCTGATAGTGCATTGATAAGGTCGGAGTAATTTCATCGAACCAATCAGGAACAACACCCAGCGGTGAACAACAAAATCATCCCGGATGCTGTTACAGCGCAGCTTATAGGGTCTACTTTTCTGTTGCCAAGCAGTGTGGCCTCCCGCACAATGGCGTCGCAAGAAGATCACTCATAGCGACAGCGCGGCATGACTTCACGAAAACAGCTCCTATGTGGGGATGTCCCAAAATTAGGGGTACCTGTATAAACTTAATAAGGATTGTAATATATTAGGGTCTATATTGGGGGTCCTTCTGTTTTGGGAAACCACCATGTGACCTATTCATTCCTGAAGGGGGGGTATCTTGCTGACTCTGTGATGCCCCAGGCACGGGCACAAACACTGCTTGGGAAATAGGGTTTAGGGTTTAGGGCTTCGGGCTACATGCAGGACAGTGGAGCTCTTCGGCTGGCATGGCATCTCACATGATGCGCGCTCCCAGCCAATGTGCTGCAAGTTTGGCTGGGTTGACATCTGAGTCCGTGTATCTGTTCGGCCACATGCATGGCAGGACCTTGGCAAATACTGCGCTGCGCATGGCAACTTGCATACTACACTCACCACGCGCCACCAGCTTTTTTGCAGCCCGCGTCACAAGCGGCAGAAGAGGCTGCTCAGACTCCTAGCCGCCAAGACGATGACGAACATCCAGCGAGTCCAACATGCAACTCTGGGCACAGCAAGCGTTCAGAGCTTCCAAAACCCTTCCCCTTCTATGAGACGCCGTGTGCAGGCATTGCTGCATTGCAGGCGAATACGCGGCCTGCATGGGCCTGGAAGAGTTTCTCGTCCAGGCCCATGCAGGCCGCAAATTCACCGGCCATCATTGTGCGGCGAGCCCCAGCAAGCCGCGTATTCGCCTGCAGCACTACACGGACATGGGGCTGCAGAGCTCAAAGCTTCTCGTATGGACATCTGCCTCAAGCAATACTGAAGGGCCCCTCCAGCCATGAGCGAACTTCGCAGGGACGTCAGACACATCCACAGGGACAGCTCCTTTATATTTCCCACTGCATACTGCAGACACCAGGCAGTCTGCAAAAACGAAACTGTCTGAAGCGATCTGCATCCAATGGGAGCTGCTCTATGCTCATGGCCACAGCAGGATCAGCTCAGAGTCTGAAGCCTGTGGAAACAGATTGCTGCTTAGCAACGCCGAAGAGTCCAACGGGCAGCCATGCGACAGCAGCCAGCAGCTCCGACTGAGACTGCTCCAAGTGTAGTAGAGGAGTTGTCCAGCACAGCCTGCAGCTTTCGGCTGCAGCCATGCCTAGAGATGAAAGTCTCAGCCCAATGACGGAAGAACAAAAGCGAACTTTCGCCAGCCTGCCGCAGCAGGACGGAACTCCACATATTGCCTCATCTTCATGACTCATGACCAGTCATCCAAGCCCAAGCTTCAAAATCTACAGCAACCTCCCGCAAAACGGCCAGAATGTTCCACTGCAATGCTGCCAGCCGTGACTTGTGTTTCAAGACCCTGCGTCTCCGAGGCTTAGGCATGGCAGGGCTGGTGTTATACCAAAGTACCAGGTGGGAGCCTCAGCTGCTCCCTGAAGATCACGCACGATCATATCCCTGTATGAGCTGTGTCATACATTGCTGTCATTCCAGCTATGGGATTTTCTGTGGATATGTAGTAACCGATGACGAAACTCCTGTTCTTATCTTCTCTTTCTCATGACATCTTAGAACCAGCTTCGATCCAAATCAAGGCACCGCCGTGCTCGGCCCGCGGCCCTGACGCCACTTCTGCAGACCAGCCTGCGCGTTCCAATCCAAATTCTCAAATTATGAGACGCACGAATCCAGGCACCTCCGGCTACCCATGGGCAACAACAGCACAAGTATGCTGCCCGTACGTGGGGTTCTGCTGCAGGCAGATTGCTTAGCAGGCTTCCCATATTCAGATGATACACATTTCCCTCAAGAGCTTGCGGAATTTTCGTGGCCTGCGAGATGCCCAAGTCCCTTACAAGCTATTGCAAGCTGGCCATAAAGCTCTGCTACTCAGATCCCTTTAACTTTGCAGATGTCAAACACCAAGACAAGCCAACCCCTCAAAGCTGGGAGCCCAGCGGGCTTCGCATCGCATCTCCCAACTCGTCACATGAGCAGCCTCTGCTAAACAAACAAGAGGGTATGTGACGGTATATTGACTTTCCTCTCGCAGATCATGCGCAGCACCATTTTCACGGTATCCGAAACACAGTCCCCTCCCTGCACAGCATCTTGGAAACAGGCCTTCATCAGTCTTGGCACACCTTGGAAGCGTCTTGAATGTCTTGGGCCAGTAAATGATGATGCATGCCCCGACCTTTACAGTATGTAATGATGAGATCCCCACCACCAATCACAGATGGTCCTACAGTGTCATTAGCTAGGTTTTGATTCTGATGAAAGGTGGGGAGCCTACGAGGAGGGGATCAGTAAGAAAACAGGGCATGCCCACAGCCGACCACAGTTGAAGGAGGTAGGGTTCAGGGCTAGGTACCCAGACTGCAAATGTGTCAAACGAATGTTGGGAGAACCCAGAAAATTCTCAACGTGAAATGCCCTCATAGATTACAATCCTTTGTATGGGCCCCCAGAACGGTACCCGTAATTGGGAAACCCTCGACCCTTTTAAGCCCTAAACCCTATTGACCTACTTGGCAAGGATTGAAATATTTTGGGGTCTACATTGGAGCTCCCTTATTTATGGAAACTACCACCTGAACCTAAAGCTATGTTGGAATGCATCAGAAGCTGCGTTGTTATGTGTTTTTTTCTGGTTTGGGGCTTTAGCTTTTTCGAGTACCCTAAACCCTAAACCCTAAACAGGGATAACGTGATCATGGCCTGTGTCACACTACGAAAGAACTACGACGCTAGCAGCCAACAAACTTCTGCAACTTCTCCCTGGATCAGGCTTGAGTGGATTTGTAAAAGAGAAGAATTTAAGTGACGTATAACCGTACGCATAATTAGCAATGAAAACTCCAAGCAGGGAGAGTTGCGAGAAGCCTCTCAGTTTGCAAGTGGCCAAAAAAAACGGATGGGAGCTGATCCTCGAAATGTAAAAGCTCTGGGACGCAGCCAAATATGGTTGAGCTGCCCGATAGACCCTTATACACCCTACTGAAACCGCGCAGGCTGCTCAGGCCAACATTGACTGAACCTAAACCCTAAACCCGTCCCCGACTCTGCACGGCTACACATGGACCTCGAAGCAGGAGCCTGGATTCCTGTGAACAACTCAGGGTTTAGGGTTTAGGGTTTTAGGGTTTAGGGTTTTAGGGTTTAGGGCTTAGGGTTTGAGGGTTTAGGGTTTTAGGGTTTAGGGTTTGCTTGCACAAGCTCGGAACCAACCAACACAATCGCAATTCAAACAGCTCGTGCACTTGCCAGGCAGTTTGCTCAACGGCAGCTTCTGCGGTGTGTTCGTGGCTTGATCGGGGCAGGTGTAGCCAGGGTCGATAGACATAATTATTGGTTGCTTGCGATATTGGCAAGGGCATAAACAGATGGCCTTCCCAACGCCGACTCTACTCAATCTGGATTTCAGCCATTTCAGCCTGTAGATATTTTAGGTCAGAGTACCGAACCGCATGATTGCGACATCTCGAACAAATCGGGGAACAACCGGCAAAGTAAAAAAGGAGATATGGCCGGATGCAAAAAAGTGTAAGTTTGAAGTTTATAGGGGAAGCTCCTGCCCCCAGACCCAAACGCTGTTGCCAAGCACTGCGCCTGCCCACACGATGCCATTGCAAGAAGGCCACTGATGCCGGCAGCATGGTTGGCCGCCTCAGTAACCTATCTGTCCCGGTAGGTCGCGTCTTGGTGATGCCCCAAGCAAGGCCGCCGGAGCTGGTTGGGAAGCAATTATGGTACACTGCTACATGCAGGAATTGAGCCCCTTGGCTGATCCTCATGGTACCTCACATGACGCACGGTCTGAGCCAATGTGCTGCAAGCCCGGCTGGGATTCACATGTGAGTCTTTGTATCCGTCTGGCCATGTTCATGGCACGACTCTGGCAAACACTACGCTGCGCATTGCGTTTTGCATACTGCACTCACCAAGCGCCACCAGTTTTTCTGAAGCCCTCTCTCAAAGGCGCGCACAAGCTAAGCACAAAGAATTACAACCTCAGAGTGGTATATTCGTAACGCATGGAGTGAGACGTACTGCCAGCAGCTAGCACGTACATTCACCAGAAAAACCCTGGATCATTACATGCATGACAGCATGAACGACCAAGCACGGGCTGGCCACGGAGCCTCCATCAAATGCGACAGTGGGCTAATGCCGCGTGGAGTTCAAAGTTCAAAGCTACTGATACGGCTCGTGCTATTAACTTGGATGTGCCCTGCCGAGCAGAGCCTCAGAAGAGGAGCCACAGCTCATTCATCAACTGCTGCCAATCAACATGCGAAACGTGGGTGGCTTGCTCTTTCAGGTGTTGGAAGTAATCCACAACCGTCCTCGACATTATCGTCGTCTGGAAGGAATCAAGGAACTTTGCATTTTCCAAAGACCATCGTACCAGGATAATGATCGTCAGCTGAACAGGAATCACTGTGCTGCACATCATATCCAGCTGCCGCGTGGCTATGACAATCTGCAAGAAGTAAGACGAAGTCTTCTTGTTGTGCTCGTCTTCGCTCGATGTCCCTGCACTTGGCTGGACACCCTCGAAATCCCTGTCGAGACTTTGAACACTTTTCAATTCATTGTAAGCAGTCTCAACTTCCTCCTCGCCCATTTCCTGTGCAGCTGGATTCCCCACCATGTCCTCCGCGAAGACCCAAAAGAAACTGCTCAGCTTTCGGCATCGGACATCGGCATCGTCTGCAGAACCTCTCCGCTGAATTGCAACGACTGCATCTGAAAAAGTGTTTCAAGAACCTCAAGAAAAACAAACATAAAGATGCCACATGAAGCCAGGAATCTTTTTAGGAGCTGAGGTGCCGCAACAATGAGAGGGGCGAGCATGACAACGAGCTTGTTCATGAAGAGGATGACGAGGAACATGAGGAACGGCTTGGTGCCACCTTCCCAGAATTTGCCTGCCTTTCCGGATGCATGTTCCCAGAAGCCAAGCGTGACCGCAGTGAGGATACCCCAACACAGCCATGCTATCACCCTGAAGAAGACGCGAATCTGGATAAAAATGAAGAACGCCGTGCAGGCCATGCCCGCCAACGTCCAGGTAGGATATTTTTTGTCACATAACTCACCACACAACTGCAAAGGAGGAAGGCGGATGAGCCAGAATGGCAAGTAGTAAGGCAGGAGCACCAGGAAGTATAGGTGCTTCTGCCAGGGGAGCCAGGAGGCGCCTCCTATCACGATGGGGTACCCAGAAATGTTGGAATACTTGGCCTTCCCAAGGTCTGTGTACTTGTTTCTTGGGCCGAACGTCAACACGGAGAGAGAGATCGGGATGGAGGCCAGCAAGTTGCCGGAACATATCCAAGTCAATCCGATGACCTGGATGAGCTTTTTTGAGTCTCCGGGGAATGCCTTGTGTGCTGCCATGATCTTTGTGATGTCGCAGCGCCACGTGTTAGGATCAAGTCAAACAGCTTGCCCAATTCATTCCAAGTTACATGTTGCTATGGCGCTTCGGTGTTGCCGTTGCTGCCCTGCACTTGTGCCACACACCTCCCAGTTTTGCCTTACGACCCGATGTTGATGGGGTCCCCCCCGGTCAGAACAGCCCGGATGCCACAACCTCGGACACGGGCCAGAAGGGTGCAACGAGTGATGATACAGGAGATGCGGTCAAGGTCGAGGGAGAGAATGGAGAGACAGGTGTCAAACCGGAGAAAGAGGATTCCAAGGGAGCGGAGGACACAGACGAAGACATCCTGCAAGATCGGAAAGACGAATGCCGAAAGCTGCTGAAGTCTCACAACAAAGCTGAGGAAGAAGAGGCCAAACAGATCGAGATCGAGAGCCTCCGGACGTGGGTCGACGAAAAGTCGCTGATGTCTTTTTGGCTCATGCCAATCAGCTTCGCTTTCAAAATCGGCTTCACCATGGCGGTATTCGGTGCCGGGATTCGAACCAAAAAGGAGGAATTTGGAGTGACAGACGGCATCATGTGCCTGGTGAGTCAGCTCGCCGGCATATTGTTCCTGGTCATGGCTCTGAACAGCAACTGACCTGACCAAGATTTTGCCGGTCGAGCTGCTGCTGGAAGCATTGCTATGGCTCCCGCCCTCACAGCTCTGGACTACCTCATGTTTCCAAGATGATGTAGCTGTAGCTCCTACCTAATTGTCGCAGCTGGTGGATGAAGCGCATGCTGTGCTTCGCGTTTCGTGGGCTTCTTCAAGGCCTTCCCCTGGCCAAGCAAGCAGCAAGCATGCCGAGAAGAGCTGTTTTGTTTCGATCCATCAGTTTTGTAGCATCAACGCAAACCCGCAGGACCCCCCATGTTGTTGGGGTCTCAGTCAGCAGCTTGGCTTAAAGCCCCAAGCACCAGCCTGTCGTCAGGGCGGACTTGAGACTTTTGGTGCAAGGTATGGTTTCAGGTTTGGGGTTTGTGGTATATAAGCCGACAAGCCATGTACGCACTTGAAAAACATAACTAAGCCTAACCTCACGCCAGCGTAAAGCGCTGTCTACAAAATGAGCTATTCTGGTGTAGGGTCGACATTTTATGGCAGACGTGGCAAGCCATCGCATGTCGCCAAGAATCTGATTAATTCTTGCAGAGGGCCTCTAAACCGCATTGCTTAATCTGGGCAGAGTGATAGAACAGGGTTGCGCTTACCAAGGATTTCGCAATCTGAGTTTGCTGCCGTCTAACTTCCGTGCATGTTCGCTACGTTGCTATCTCCAATCTCCAAATTTGTTGCTGTCCTTGGGGCACACCGCGTGACAGCATGCTTAAGATGGTCCAACCCGGAACAAGGAACTGCATGCTTTTAACAGGAACATCAGCTTCAGGAGCATGCTCTTAAAATTGAAGCAGACACCTCGGATGATCTTTTTTTGAGCCACCTACTACTGATTTGTCTGGAAACACTGAGTGCGGTCGGAAGGCGTGGCCAGACCGACCCGGTTTTTTGCCTGTGCCACGTGCGCCACCTGCGCCAGCTGCACCAC